CGACGTGATTCTTCTAGTAAGGGCTCTTGTGTTCGGCTCTCCAGCGCTCGGTTGCAGAGGTTCCTGATGGCGGTCGACCAGTTGCCGCTACCCGCGCGTCGCGACGCGTTCGTGCAAGGACTCAGGGCGGGTTTCACCACGTCCGCTGAAGACTAAGCGAGGCTTCAGCAGAAATAAGCGAGTTCAGGGTAAAATAGCGATTCACCATGATTCGTACGCCTCGCTTAGCATTAAGCTACGCTTTCTACATAAGCGCTCGCCGGACGGTCGCTTAAGGGACTTAAGCCAGCTTAAGGAGACCAGAGAAACATGTCGGAGATGTTATTTGCAATTGAATTTGGAGAAAGCGACCACTTTTTTGAAGATATAATTTCTCCACCAAGACAAACTAGGTGGATCCGAGAGAGGGTAAATTTCTTCGAAGGCTCTGATGAAAATGATTTCGGACTCACTTTCGCCTTTCGAAGAGATCAATATTATTGGTGTTCGAGCATATCGAAGAAAAACTAGATTTTACATCTGACAGATATGTAGTGTAGCCTAGTTGTAGCTACATAACGGAGAGCTGAAAGCTTACACCTTTAATAAACACTATTTCTCTCGGTATATCTTGCAATAGCAAAAAGATAACATTTGTAACTCAGGTTAAGGTTATGATAAGCTTGTATCAGTATAGTATTTCAATTTTAAATACAGTACGAATTTGAACACAACGGAATTCTAGTCATTACCCTGTTAATTTGATGTTCAGTAGTTACTGACATCCAAATTGCATTGTATATTTATGTGTTATGAATTCAATACTTCTGAGACAACTATGAAACAATTAAACTTTGCACAGAACTTTGTGAGACTATTTTATTTCATTTGCCAATGTTTTAATTCGTTATCCAAATTACAGTGTTGTAATTGTACAATTAACTATTTTGTAATGTAATATAAGTATTCTTTTTATAAATAATAAATCTATGACATTCCTTATAACAAGACAGTGTTATTGTTTGTACCGTTTAACGCATAATTAATAACGATCTAACTTAATTTGATAGAATAAACAATGAACAAATATACAAATTCACTCACTATCAGCAAACTATAGGACTTAATCAAATAGTATAAACAACTTCAAATAACGGAGACAATTGTGTCAAAGAACGTACAGAACGTTAATGTCACTACTTTCTATCGTTGCCAACATTTGCGGAAGACGCACGAAACCCTCTTAGCCATGCCACGCCGCTAGATCGCCGTGAGGGGATTAGTGAAACGCGTTTGCCACAAGCTCGCTAAAATTATAACTTAAATTTTGAGCGAGCTTAACAAAGCAGCGCTCAACGAAATATGGGAGAAACCGGCCCTCGAAACTGCTCCGGGGCGGTTCCGCCGCCTGCAGAAAGCGAGGAACGCTGCCTCACTTGGCCGCTCGGCTCCTCAGCTGCCCTCGGCGAGTACACTTTCGGGAGCTTAATACGGGGGGGGGGCGAGGTCTTCCTCCGTTTCAGATGGGGCGCCACTGCAGTTTTAGGCATCTTTTCGCTTGCCGGGCCGTGTGAAAAACGAGGGGTGCGGTTCAGTACGGGCGTGTTTGGCTCCATTTAGGTAGCGGTATATGTTACCTGTGCCGGTGAACATTCGCTGGCAGAGAGTGGCCTCCTCAACCAGTTCGGCCATCGCACGCTCTCTTACCACCAGGTCGCGACTGGTCAGTAGCTTATATGCGCTGTCCACTGCCCAGGTCGCTTTCTGCGGTCCGACACCTCCCTCGTCCTTGGCGGCGTATCAGAAATCCGTTGAAGTGCCGACGGCAAGGAACTTGAACTGCCGGGCTATCGCACGAACCGAAAGGTCATGCGGTCTTAGCATACATTTTGTGTACCGGCCCATGCGGAACGGAAATACTTTGGCGGACTGCACAAACTGGCATAGTGCGTCTGATGGCCATGCAGCTATGACGCGGCTACGTTGTCCAGGATGCGGACCTGCACGTGCAGCTCGGTCCAGGTTTCCACTAGGTGAAATCCAACGGCCATCTTAGGTAGCAGGCGGTCCTGCTGGCCAACACGGCGGGAATTATGGCTTCCCCCGAGTGAAACGCTAACCTCTGTACCTGCGGACTTACTTCATAGAGGGTGCGACATTTGGACGACTTAAGGCGGAGTCGGCGTCATTTGATCCCTGGGGTTTCCAGTCGGTCATCCAACCAGGAACCCGCGATGTCTCGATTTCGCTTAACCTTCATGTAAGGGTCAAACCATATTAATGGTCCAGAATTTAATAAATTAGTCTTCCGTAAAAAATCATACTTTGTATATAAATTTCCTTATGTCTTGGGTGTTTAAGACTTATTTAATTTTTACTTTCTCGCTACTGCCACCGCGATAGAGAGAAAGTTATATAATGCAGCGCAAAAAAAAAGGTGAATTTTCAGCAGAACTTTTTGCAGGGCCCTGGTAACGAAAATGTGGAGACATTTAATTGCTAAATTTAAAAAAAATCTCTAATACGTGGTATGCCAGAATTTCGTTTTGTAGGTCCTTGATTTGATACCGTAATAATCGATTGATAGCAAAATCTGTCTGTCTGTCTGTCTGTCTGTCTGTCTGTCTGTCTGTCTGTCTGTCTGTCCGCCCGCCCGCCCGTCTCTGAACAACGCTAGTGGCTAAACCGTTGAGCCGATTTTCTTCAATATTGATATTTCACAAACGATCTGGTTGATGTAACGGTCCCTTGAATTTGAAACCTATATTTTCATTTTAGGGGTACTTTACATGAAGCCTCTGGGAAATTTTTAAAAATGGCGCCATCGATTTGGATTGAATTTTGTTTTTGGATAGTCTGAAGGACGTTTTAGAGAATGGTGCAGGTCTCATGTAGGTTAAAAATTCTGATTTTTTGAAAAAAGAAAAAAAAATTGTTTCGGCACCTTCCTACAACTGCAATTGTGAATATACAATGGCTTTTCTGAATGAAATGTAATAATCAAAAACTGATTTTCATATAAAGTCGTTTTAATTATTTTTTTGAAAATGTGTTTTTGTGTAATTTTACGAGGAACATAATAGCCTGCTCCCAATTGACTGGCCTTCGTCTTAGAATTTGTATATTATATCATATTTCTTTGTTCGTTTCTTATATTTGACCTTTTGTTATACATTGACAAATTAATCATTTAGAAATTACGAGTATTTAAAACGTATTTTAAAAACTGCTTTCTTTGGGGGAATATCAGATTGCAATGCTTCAATGACTCGACAACAATGCCTCGGGAGCTGAATTACGTCTTGTTGAAACATGATTTACCTGTATTAAAAGCAGTTATAATTGTCAAATTTGTGTTGATATTTATTTTAAAATATTTAGTTTTTGTACCAAAGGTTGTACGATTTGTAATGAACAGGGTTGGGTAGTATTTAAATTCATGTATTTTAAATACATTGACATATTCATCCACCCCAGTTGAATGTTTTTCTTTGCAGGTTTTATACATTCGCTAACTAGGGGTTTATTGTCTGATGATTTTTTTGAAAATGAAGTCATTTTAAAAGGAAATTCCATTTCTTTGTGGTAGACATATTTTTGATATCATTTTATCAAACCATACTTAACCGAAGCCAGACGTTGGCCCATTTTTTAGAGAATCGGGACGGAAACCCGCAAGTCGCCAACACCGTTCGCGTAGCGCGCTTCATTCAGAACAAGCAACAAGTTTTTAACAAGAGTTCTTACACTTCCCTTGGTGGACTAGGAGCAATGGCAAGATTCTCACTCCTAGAAAATCTTAACATTGATATTAGCTGCAATTTGATGAATAAAATAAAAATATAAATTTTGCTGGATAGAAATTAAAATGTAGAAAAAGTTTTGAATTTTTGCCACTTACAAAACACCTGGGCCTGATCTTCTTAACTAGGTTAAAGGTGGGGGTTATAAACTTGGCCTCAGGATCAAGGAGGTGCGTGGAGAGGACAGTAAGAGATGCGATCAGGGCTCGGGGCTGTGTTGGCGCTGCATTCCAAGCCATTTGGACACCTCTTCCGTAAAGTGAGCAGTCTCAATTTGGTTCTGCCCTTCCTCTTCCTCAAATATGTCCTCCAGGTTGATGGGTGTATTACCGTGCACCAAGGTAATATTCTTGTAATATCTTCTTGGGAATAGGACAACGCGCAGGTTTTGCATTTTATTTCCCCTCATCGCTCTCCTGCTTTACTGCTCATACGATTTTGCGACCTATGTGCCTGTTCCTCCCTCTGGCCTGGGCGATGGTCAGGGACGTATTGTAATTCGGAGCGCCGTCCGCCACAATCGCAGCACGTGGGAGTCGTAGCAGCGCTCGCTCTCTACCGACTGCTGCGAGTAGGGCGTCGCTGGTGCGAGGGAGACGTGGGGCCTACGGCGTCGGCAGCCTCTAGCTTGTTAGTGGAGTCGTTGCCGTGGGGCTGTGCCGTCGCGTCGAGAGTAGCTTCGATTCGATGACTCCATTGTGAGCGGCCGGCTCTTTGCAGATTTCGGGGAAGAGGGATCTCTAAGAGTCGTATATGCATATATTTACATCGTATCTGTTCAGCTGGATGCTGTTTTTCCTGTTCAAAATAAAACCGGTGTTTCCTGGCGCATCACAATATATTGAAAACCATGTCTGTAAGGGATTTAATTACTATAGTAATTACTAGAAAAATATGAGTTGTTGTGTTAGAGTAGAGGATAATTTTGAAATATATAATACGGAGTATTTTTTTAAATCTTCAATGAAATGTGATAGTTAAAAAATACATGTCGTGTATTTTTTTATACATAATTATATATCTGTAGGGATGTCTTGGGTGTTTTATGTTTCTTAAAATACTATAAATTCATTAAATGATTGGTAATGTTGTATGTGACAAGCAATGTATGTGAATTTTAACATTTGCTGAATTGATTATAAAACTCTTTCTAGAGAAGAATGGCAAGCCGCTTTAAAATTTGTAATTTTGGTTCCTTTTCTCTGCTTCTTTCTTTAGATGCCGCCATGGTGTTTTCTCATTGTACTTTGGTGATAATCTTCCACAGTGTAACAAGAAATGTGATGTTTGTAAAAATCCAACTGCCGTTGAAAAATCTATTGAAAATTTCTACTCAGCAATTGTTACCGGTTCAAGATTTTCAATTTCTGGGAATGATTATGATAATGATCTGTATGGAGGAGGTCGAGTTGGACAAAAACGGTACATTGTTTTATTAATAGAAAATGGACTTTTTTAAATTCTGCATGTGAATGTTAAGAAAAAGAATGTAATTGTACCTAAAAATATACTAGTACTTAGTTGAATTCTTAATTCTGCTAGTCTTAGGTCTCATTTTTTAATTTTAACCCTTCTGGTATCATTAAGTTTCAGGTTAGGTACCTATTTCAGTCAATTTTGAATTACAAAAATTTAATTCAAATATTTACATCTGCTTAATTAATTTATATAGTTTTTATTCAATTTGTTGTTAAAGTGAATGGCTAGCTGTATTGAGTTTTTATTGTCATTCCTTCAGAGGAAAGAGTATGGTGTTACATACCTAAACCCTTTTATGAATTTCCAAAGATTATGATAATTCAGGATGAAGTGCTAAATTGTATCAAAAAGCTTTCTGTAGGAGGGACAAAAACAAGAAGAAGAAAAATAGAGAGAGAAAAACAAACAAACAAACATCAGATGCAGAAAAAAATAATGAAAGTTAGGATTCTTCAATTGAAAACTAAACAATATTGATTTTTTTTACAAACAAGTCATTGAAACAAAGTATAATTTACTTTTGAGTATTTTACTTTTATATTTAGATGATACATGTTGTCATCTCAGTATGGATGTTCCTTGCTGTTATCATGATATCTTGTGTGTCAGAAAAAGGTTTTGACTCGGTAATTTTTAGATTTGGTGGAAATACTTCTTGTTCCTGTCGTACTCTCTCTCATAACAATTTATTTAAACTAAACACGGGAAACACACAATCTAATAGTTCTTGTTTAAAACTGTTTCCTGTTGCAAATGCTGGGGTCCTCTTTTTGACTGTTTCTTGAAGCAAAAAAGTACATAGTGATATAAAATATCTTGTCTTACCTGCTTAATGATATATTTATCTACTAAATGTAAAGGGCAAAGTAAATATGTTATTTTTCTGTAGAGTGTTGAAAATAAAAAGATAGAAAGACCTTAGTAGCTATTCTATGATAGTCACTTTAAAATTAAATGAGAGATAACAGTAAAATTGATGATTAACTCAAATACTACAATTTTAATGAAATGAATAACTAATTTTTAGGGAATGCTCAGATTATGATGGGAATGAAGAAGGTGATGATGGAGAGAACCTATCCAATAAACACAAAAAAGAAATGGATTCATTTATAAAAAAGCAGTTCTCTCTTCGTCGTGCATCATCTCTGGAAGAAGAGACAGATGTAGCAGCTGAGTATGCAAGAGTTAAAGCTGCTTCTAGCACTAGTGTGAAAGTCACTGGGTTAACTGTGGCAGTATGTAAATATATGTATATTATGATGAAATATTTGCTTTTCCTTCTTTTCATATTTGCCATTATAATGTTATTTTGCAATTTCTCAAATTAGTTTTATCTTCACAAAACTAAAAGCATAAAGTATTATTTGTTGTGACTTTCATTCTTGGATCTTAAACACCATCTTTCTTTATCGATACATATTTTTGTTACTCAGAAAATAATTGTTGTTTCAAAATTGTCAATGTTGCTTTGTTTTGTGAAAACTGAGCTGCTTGTTCAGAATAATTTCTAATAGAAATTACTTAGAGATTGACTTGGTATTTGAATTGTCACTTATTAATTCTGAAAAGATTGTACTACTACATCTCTGTAAACTCGAGATAAATTCAAAGTAGTGAATGTAGGTCAATTATGAGGTCAATGACCTTTATCTGGTTGTAGATTAAATTGTTTTGCTTCTTTTTATAATTCCTGTTAATTAACTTTTCTGTAAGACTTCCATTTGTAATTAGTAACAAATTATGTACATAATTTTATTCTTGTGCAGATGCGTGAAACATATTTGGGGCTATTTATTGAAGCCCTGAAAAGGAATTTGGAAAAATGTCAAGTTATAGATCCTCCATTAAACAAACTTCAAGATAAGGATGTCGAAGAATGTGCTATAGCTTTAGAGTATGAAATATTTTCTTCTAATAAGGTAATCAGCTTATATAGAAGAGGCATTGCAAAGAAAGTAAGTATTAAAGAGCTACAAAAACTTTCTTGCAGTGCATTTCATTACCTTCCAATGCTTAAACGATATATTTTGTTTTAGACTGCAGATATTAAAAAGGAAACTGGCATATTGACTTTGAATGATTGTCTGAAACGGTATGTTCCTAAATCGTCATCACTGCGAGATGCAGTGAAAGAGATAGAACTTAGTCGTGAAGCTAAATCGAAAGTAAAAGTAGAAGGTTGTGGCATTGTAACAGCCTCTCAATTATTGAATTCATACCAGCAAGAAAATAATGAAAGTACTTCCCGAAAGAGTAAAAGGGAATCTCACTATAAACTGAAACCAAAGTTCAGCTTCAAAAAGGACCCTTTAGTGCAGAAGTCTGTTGATTCATTTTTTCAAGTATCTGCTATTCATAGAACTGAAGGTGATAAAAATAGTAGGGACAGGGACCATGATGCAGTTCCTCAAAGTACTTCATTGTCTTCTGAAGGGTGCACTCTTTCAAGTGTTGACCAGTGTGTTATAATATCAGATGATGATTGTGCAAAGAAGTGTAGTCCACGTGACAAGGAATTAAGTCCTCAAGAGGAAAAAAAATTGTCACTTGTTGAGATCGAGAAAACAGTCTGCAAAAAGTCTGTAACAGAAGAATCACGTGAAATAGAAGAAAACAGTGTGGTAAATGATTTCAAGAAGCAGAAGAAGAAGAAGCCGGTTGAAAGTAAAGAATTTTCACATAAAGAGCAGTCTGATATAGTTGGAGAACAAAAGCCTTCTAAAATTGTTGTACTGCATGACCCAGAAATGAAGACCAATGTTAAAACAAAGAAAAGAAAAATACAAAAAGATCTATTTGGAGATAGCGATAATAGTGATGATGGATTACAGTCACGTAAACAACTGAAGAAGGATATTAGTTCACATAAGAGTGAAATGGCAGATTCAGAACCAACCCGTAAGAAATCTGATGCTCAAATTGTGCACAAGCTGGGAAAATCTTCTAATCATGTCTTGGATTCAGAGTCATCATCAAAAAGTAAACAAGATTTATCAAAATCTGAACTCGAAAATTCTTCTTCTTTTGGAAAAGATAGACAGGATGTTGCAGAAAAAGTTGTTAAGCATTTAATGCCCTTCTACAGAAAGAAGAGAATAGTTTCAAAAGAACTTTTCAAGTGTTTGGCACGGGTTATAGCTCACAAATTACTAGAGAATGAGAAATGTACAGGTATTATATTATCTTTTCTTTTTCATTCTGTATCATTGTTTGACATTTAGATTAAAGAATAACACAGACTTCTCTTTTTTACAGGTGATCATGTTGTTCAAAAGTACGTTGGTGAATTTTTTCACAATTGTAAAATAGTTGACAACAAAAGTGAAATAGACGTTACAATTTTACGAATTGACAGTCTTATTACACGGTGAGGTAAAAATGACTGTTGAGTGTAATTACGGATATTGTTTATGATCAATTTGTTAAGTGGATGTGATTGTGTAAATAGTAATTTAATCATGTTAATTTAATATTGTTGAGTTATTGTCTCTAGGGTCAGCTTTCCTGACTTCTTCAGATATTCCCAAAAAATCAATAATTTGTTTTCATTTTTAAGTTTGTTCTGAAAACATGGTGGATTTAGACTGACTTCCTTAACTATTGTTTGTTGGAATTGGTTCGTAAGGCATTAGTATTATCCACGTTGCATTTTATGAAAATTTTGGTCATCATACGATCAGGTATTTTTTTTTTATCAACATTTTTTCAGGCTTGTGAATGGTGGAGTTTAATTTTGATGATTTTAGATTTTTGGGGCGGAAAAGAGTGCTCTTGTAAGGGAATGCGAGCGACATGGCTCACAAACCTTCACCTCTCTGAAGCACACATTTAAGGGTAAATGCATGCACAAGTAACTAAGCTACAAGTATTACTTGATGCAACAGATATTACATCTGAGTTGTTCATCAACTTTTTCTTGAAATAGTGTTTTTCTTTTCATGGTATTTGGCTGAAAGACAGTGAGAACCTTAAAATTATGGTTCTAAAATCACTAAATAGTTCTGCAGAAATAGAGATAATTGCAGTTAAAATAATGAGAAGTAATTGGTTTATAATATTGTAATTTGGAATAAGATTCAAATTAAATTAAATTTAATTAAAATAAATTTTTAACAAATAGTGCTTCTAACTGCTAAAGTTTCTTTCAAAAGTACTATTTACAGGCCTAATATAATCCAGCCAAGAGTACATTTTTTGAAGCATAATGCTAAATGATTTATGTAATTATCCTACAGAAAAAAACTACTCTAATTTTTACTTAATTTTTGTATGTTTTTTTAGTGACAGATGTTTGAGAAAATCTTTAAATGTGGCAATCTTGAGTTTCAAGACCTTCAAAATGTTGTAAAGGTTATCTCCAAGCTTTTAATCCAAGACAGTAAAGCTAACAGTTGTTTGATTTTGCACCAAGTGGTCAGTAGGTCACCAAATGAACAACCACCTGCATGTCCACACTATTTTTATAGTCTTCAATGACTAATTCTATGGAAATATGATCAAATGATATAAGTTAAAAACTAAAACAAGATGTGTAACATTTGTTCTTTGAGAGATTCTAATGTAAGTAGGCCCACTTAAGGCAAAATTTATAATTGTATGATTGAAAGCTTCACATTTGCAAATCATGCAAAAGCATGCTGCAAATCTATGGCAACTACCTAACCATAAGAACCATAGGCACCATAAGAAGGTTGATAGTGAGGGAAGGGTTTTTATTGATGCTTCCTCAGACGAGCTGCAGGTACAAAAAGAAAAGAATGAGGAGTGAACAAGTTGAATGTCTGAAATTTTCTCCACTGATGTTAGAGAAAATTTCAAAGAGACAACTCATGACCTGTGGGTGGGCAGAAAATCTCAAGGTTCTGTGAAATGGCAACTGAGTGAAAAAAAATAACAAAGAAAGTAAAATTGGTCAAAACCAGGGAGAAATAAACATTTTTCAGTACTCTAAAAGAGAGCTAGAAAATTCCTCGTTATTCCTGGAATAATATAAAGATGTGGTGCCAAAAGATTGAAGTTGCGATCGAATACTGGCATAAGCAGATCATTGTACTTTGCCCAATATAATCTATGACTTTTAGAAACATGCCTAATTAAGCATCCAATCTACATTTTGATGGTCTTGAGAACCCTAGTTGTATGTTTGAAAGAGGTCAACTCTTATTGGAATGTTTTGCGAAAGACATTGAGAGCAGAATACCAAAGATAAATATTTTCCCCAAATATTTGCAAGTTAGAAGGAAAAAATTTGAAAGATATAATGAAACATTTTTGTGATATGGTTTTTGTTTTGTTTTGTGGATTTTCTGAGATTTGAGTGGAAAGCAATTTCTACATTGTAGAATATAAAACTTTGTTGGTGTACCTGTGCTTTTATCAAGTCAAATGCTGAAATTGTAATTATTATTTCGTATTCCTACATATGCAACTCGTAGGAATTGTTGGGATATAAGTGTGAAAAAATATAGTGACTTGCATTATCAATGCTTTCTTAAAATTTAATCTTTGCCCCTTTTTATTGAATTTCAAGTAGGTTTTATTGTTTTACTACATAAAATGGAAATTATGGAATTTATTGTTTACAGTTCATTGACATGGTGCAGGGTAGCTGGAAATTCTGTATTTTTTTCATATTAATTTTCTTTGTTTGGGAGGGAGAGAGAGAGGGAGAGGGAGAGAGGGAGAGAGAGAGAGGGAGGGAGAGGGAGAGAGAGGGGGAGGGAGAGAGAGAGAGAGAGACAGACAGAGAGAGACACAGAGAGACAGAGAGAGAGACAAGTAAAAGTCTTCACAGCATTTAAACAATTAACTTAAAATACATCATCAAAAGTATTATATCAAAAACATTCTTCAGGCTTTTAATTGTTCTTGTGTAAGTTTGTGTGATGGGACAGTCAAATGATTCCTGCTGCAAAATATTTCTTCTCTTCTGGTATGTGTTGTTTTACTAATTTTTTTTTTTTTTTTTTTGCCTTTTTCTTGGTATTAATGAGATACCTCTAGTGTTTGGTTAGTAACTCTGGACATGATCCAATAAGTTCTGCAAGATAAATTAATACCCTTTTCTTTAAGCCCATCTATCCATGAAAAGGAAGTTAAGATTCCTGTTTTAATTTTAGTCTAATGAAATTATTCTTTAGGAATAATATATGAGAAATAATACTTTCTGTTCCTTCAGGATTTTAGTGAGAAAACTTGTAGACAAAACTTACTTTGTAATGCAATCAAGTCATATAATAAGACCGCTAGTCTTTACTTCTGTAACTTTGAATTCTAAACATATTATCAACATCTGAAAATCCAGTACAAACACCATAAGGAAAAGCTATATTTCTATAGATTTATCCTTTTCATGAGGGAGGCAGGCCAATTTGTGATCTACTTCTACCAAAAGAAGTGCCCTTTACTCTGGAGATTGTTCGCTCACATGGAACATGAAAGCCCTAAATATCATAATTGAAATAAAGTGGCATTATAACCTTAAAATGACTCATTTAATGAAATACTATAATGGAGTAAAGCTTTATTTTAGTTTTTTTACTTGAAATGAAAAAGTGTCTTTTCATTGCAAATTTCTCAAAAAGGGGGGAAAAAATAGTCTCTTAATAACGGTATAATGGTAGATTTTGGTCTAATTGGACCAGCCCTTACTTTTTAACTTGTATTTGAGCCATTCCTTGTAAAATTCAAGTTCAAGGAAAATCTGACCTTCATGTTCCATGTTTTTAAACTTATTTCACTGAAAAGTATAAGCAGAACTATGAATCGTCTTTTTCTTTCATTTTTCTTCCTTATTTTTTTTCTCTCGGGTTGATTATTCATTTTCAAACTTTTTGAAAAAAATTCTTGCATCGCTAAAGTCAGTCCTTTGTAAGTAGTGTTGTAATTGAAATGGAAATGTAATTTTTGCAATTTTGAAGAACGAAAGGCACTCCTTCATTTCTTGTTTGCATTAAATTCATTAATTTTTTAAAATGCATTTTGTCTTAGTTTAATTTTTTTTAAATTTTCCTTTACACAACTATTTAGAAATTAGAAAAAAGAAGACTTATATTTCTGAAGTATTCTTCATAGGTCTGGTAAGTTTTAAAGACAAACTAGGGGTGAGAGGTATTCTGGAAAATCTAATTCAATTGAAATTTCTACTTGCTGTCTTGCTGCAGCATCTGCGGGAGCATCATCTCTCAGCAAGTGCCAATCAGCCATTGACAATTACATCGTAAAATGTGCCAGATATACTTAACATTCATTGTTGGTTAAATTAAAATTAAAAAGTGTCAAATGGATAAAATTTAGTATTAAATGGACGAAATAATTATATGAATAAGAGTATGTAATACAGTTACTTTAATTGCCATTTCTTTTGCTTTAGAGAGAATACCATTCATTGTGTGTTTCATTCAGAAATATTGTACTTTCTTTAGGTCTTCTGCAGGATTTTTATTTTCATTTCACTGTTGCAACAGTTCTCTTTCTAAGTAGTGTTCAGTATTGTTAAGAACGTAAAAGTAGGAATGTTCTTCACATTATCAACCCACTTAAATAACTTCCTGGGTTCTGTAAAGGTTTAGGGCTAGTTTTCGTTTATCTGATAGGTGTACCCCCATTCTGATGCGAGGTCCCTTTCCATAAGACTGCAAAGCGAAGAAATGCCTTTTAGCGTTCACAAAATGTCATTATGCCATTTACATTATGAGCATGTTATTATTTAGCATTAGCAAAATGTCATTAGCATTTACAATCATCGTTTTGGAAAAATAATTTCACATTTTTGTAATACAAGGAATTTTGGAATCAATCCGAGAAAAATAGGTACACATGTCTATTAACACTCATAATCTTGTTTGAGAAGTGTTACGAGTCTATGCTGAAAATGGTAAATTGAATTCAAGTTGTGTATGAGGCATTCAGAAAAAACAATTATTGTTCAATGTTTAATTTTTTTGTTTCTCTTAAGTAAAGCACAAAAGGATGCAGGGTAGCTTAGACATTAAAAATTTGCACTTTTAAGTAGGAAATAATGTTGCTTTTTTTCTACACTGGGGAAAGAAAAAATCTCCGGAAACAAATTTTATTTTGTCTTGTGAAGACAACAGAAGATGGGTAATGACAGGTGAAGACTGCAGAAGATGAACTAACTCGGTCAGTTTATAATGTGATGCATTGGGTGAGCATGCCTTACAGGACCAACTGTAAACATATGTTTATAGTTGTCACTGATCAATACATTTGCGGCATTAACAAGTTTGAATGATTCTCACTCTCTTGAATTAACTTAACTTGAATCGTCATGAAAATGAATGTTGGAAACTTGTTTTCCAATAATATAATATTTTAATTTATAATTTATTTTTACAGTAAACAGTCATTTTCAACTTCTCAAAATGCTGGTTGTATCAACGGCACAAATTACATTGGTATTTATAGGACCATGTTAGGGGGAGCGTGAGGGACTGGTGGCCCATGAATAAAAGTAAAAGTCAGTATTTAAATGAATCCTTACTTATAAAAAAATTCCTGATCAAATAAATAACTTATTTGTTGAGAGTTACTTTAACGAGTGATTGTAAGCCTAGTTACTATTGCTGAACCGTGGTTACCTTCAGTAGCCTTCACTCTAGGAAGCCATGGCTTAAAGCCACCTCTTGTGGCAAACAGCAATAATTCAATGACGGCTGCACCCTTCATCTGCTGTGTCGAATGTTTAAACATATCTTTCAAAATAAAAGTGAGAAACAGGAAAATATGAATATTAAATTAAAAAGAAAATTTGCTGCGTGCCGGGTTGTGTAAATTCTCAGTCTAAATAAGACACCTGAAATAAAATTTCATTTTTTCTAAACTTTGCATCAGAAACAAAGAAAAGAGTTTTCTTTATTATTTAATTAAATATTGAATATGTAACGTGCTGCTCATAATTGAAATATTATACCATGAATCACTGGCGGATCCAGGGGGGCCACGCCCCCTCCCCAAAAGGCCTAGAGGTTTTGTTTGCATTCCTTTATTTGGCAAATTTGATTTAAATATTTACTTATTTCAAATTATGTAATTATTTAAACAATAATATTGTATCATTAGTATTATCTACAGCACATAAAAAATATACAATATAATAGGAAATATGTTTATTATTTAACAAAATCTAC